TTTCTTCTGTGCCACCCCATTGTCGTCTCCAGTAGTACCGGTGAACCGCTCCAAGCCCTCCTTTGTCTTCTTCGCAGCCAGTTCTTTCTGATGCTCTCGACGACGGGCTTCAGCTCCCTCGTTGACCTGAGTTGGTCTTTCCGCACGCAGTTTGGTTCTTGTGACGTTTCTGCCAGCAGCGGCGCTAGACTTCGCCTCCTTTTTCTGTTTCACAGGCTTCTCGGGCTCTTCCTCATCCCCGAAATAGAATGAGATCGAATCCATGTCAATACCAGCGTCTTTGGTGAAAATGTGAGGCCCATTTTCCCCGACACGAACTGTATCGGTGATGACCATAGAATAGCCACCATTCTTGGCATTTTTTGAGTCTGGATCTTTCACATCAGTCAACCCGATCGTGATAGACAGTGTCATGCCGTTTTTCAACACGCGGTTGTTCTTGGCATTGAGGACCATATTGGAATCTCGGAGCTCGATTCCAATCCCTGCACCAACGTTCTTGAGAAAGTGTCCCTCCAGCTCAGGCTTCTTGGACCGAACCAGGCTCAGTGCCTTGTTGTAAACGTCCTTAGCGACCACGCCATCCCGAACCTCTTTCATGGTTGCTTCATGGAGGCTCAGCAGTAGGGCATAGTTTGCTTCTTGTGATTTGGTTGGGTCAACCAAATAAGTACGGCCAATGAGTGAGCTGTAAGTCTTGTATCTGATTCCAAAGCTGGACAGAATGATGCCGGGTTCAAGGTTTTTACTGTCGGGAGTCGCTGTGAGCTTGAGATCGTAGGCGCCTCCACTTTGAATTACAGGCCCGTAGGCCCAGTCGATTTGCTGAGGATCAAATTCCGAGGGTAAGCGCGCCAGCTTATTGAAAAACTTCCCATCGTCAATCTTTGCATCAACCTTTGCGGCGAGGGCCTTGTGCGTCATCTTCTTTTCTTCGTCGAGCAAACGTGACATCTCATCGACGAAGTACTCCGACATAAGACCACTGCAAGCTCTGGAAGCATTGCGGATTGAGACCTACGAGATAGTATCAGCAAACACCACTTGTTAAACACCCCGTCATAGATAAACCTACCAATTCATCGGAATCCTTGATTGCAAAAGCCGCCGAGAGTGCAGGTGCTATATCGACTTCCTCCACTTCTTTCGATATTTCCGCAAATGCGCGTTTCCATTCATCTGCGAAGGGCCCCGAAGCTGTGTTCTTGGGCAAGGTACCGACTTTGTTCTGCAGTTGCGGTAGTTAGTGGAAGGCAAATCAAACCAGTGATTCAAATGGCATTTTAGCTCACCCCTGCGCCCTTGATAACCTCCAAACATTTCTCAAATGCTTTGGTCTTTGATTCTGGATCTTTGGTAGTGACAAGAATTTCGACGGGGATCTTTCCTTCTTTCAGTGGCTCGAGGTGTTTCGCTGTGATTTAAATCAGATATGCAGTGCGCAAACTTCCATTCGTTGAAACTCACCTTTCTTGGCCGTAGTGACCACGTAGATAGCTTCAGTCGTGAGCACAAATAGTGTCGCTGGGAATTCATAGCCGAGAAGCCAGAACTAAGAACAAGTTGAATTAGTAACGACGTCATGAAGCTCATGGGGCTCTATGGGAGGGGGATGGGACTTTGGAGGATATCCACATACATGCATCGCGTTGTTCTTCTGGAACGAGTTCTCCTCATCGGTCTTGCCCATCAATATGACCACGGACCCTGCATTGCCAAAGAGGGCATTGCCCGACCGCTTGTCGGCCTTCCATGACGCATAGAAACCAGACAGTCGGTTGAAAAAGTTGTTCTTGTCAATGGCGATCTCTTCAGCCATGGTTATCCTGATGCGAGCAAAGTATGCCGCAGTCAGAGAGACTAAGTTGATGGCACAAGAGTTCGGTGCAGGAGCGCAGGAGCTACTGCAGGTATGTCCGAGTGTTAAATTTGTTTAGGATGAAGAAGAAGGTAGACGGGAAATGAAGGCAGCATCAATGCGACAGCTGCGATGATGAGAGACAACACACCGATAGAGCTGGGGCTGTGGAAGAAAAGACAAAGATAGAAAGGGACGGCTTAGGGGAAAGCGAACGCGAAAAGCGCGTTCTTACACTTTAGGTCTCTCTCGATTACCGTATCAAAGTATTACCACATTCGTATTAGCGCTATTCTTCATCTCTCTTCTCTTATGGAATCGGAACATGTTTTTGTTAGTATCTCTTTTTATTCACTTTCTTTTTATTCTCAATCTTCAGGTCAATATGGCATATGTGAGCCCTTACTTGGTCGTTTGATTGAATAACAATCACACCCTGTGATGCTGCCCTCTTTTTTCCCACCTATATCGCCTGCCCTTTGAAATTCACTCTCGACATTGAGCCAGTCTCTCTTTGAGATCCCACAAGCACCCGTTCCCTACGATGTACACTGTGGCTTTTTAGTTGTCTGTAAACAATGAAGTCTCCGATAGCCCCCATCCTCCTCGAGCCTCATCTCGGCGAATTTCCAGGAAGTTCACGAAGGATTTCTCGCAACGATGCGGCTACCGGAGCATCTGCCGCCGGCGTTCGTGCTCTCAGTGCACAGATGGTGGCCTTCTATTTTAGGGCCCCGATCAAAGCTTTCTTTCGTATGCGTGTTGAGTATGTAGTATCTGTTGACCTAATGATCTTTGTATTGACAATATTTCACCTAGTTATATGGTACACTCTCCCCATCATTTATAATAGATGAGAAACACCATCAACCCATCACCAGCCTTGGTTGCTGATCATTTGAAACAGGCATTTGCAAGAGCTGTAAATCCCCGTGTCGCTGAAGGCAAATGGTCTCTGCATACGACAACCCCGGGATTATTGCTCCACGCCGTTCAGACATATGGCTGGCGGTTTATCCCAAATCAAGTGCTCCCACCCTTGATGGCAAATGCAGGGTGAGATATTCCCAAGGATATGGCCATAGGTGATTTGAAAGCGCTAATGATATATACCAGGGTTGGTGCTGTTCTCTACACGTCCTATCTCCAGGTTTTGGGAGCCCTACATGAACCTGTGTCCCAAGGGGTCAAGCGAGTCTGGCCTCCGGCCCCTCCATCTGCAACATTCGCAGCTGGATTCACCGCCGGCACAATCCAGTCGATTGTAGCCGCGCCTCTGGACGCGTTACAGGTTCGCTTTCAAACCAGTGACATGCTGGAGGGTCAGTACCGGAGTATGTGGCATTATGGTCACCATAAGCTCAAACAGATTGGTCTCCGGGGAGTCTTTGCAGGCTGGAGCCTGTCGTTTATGCGTGATTCACTCGGTTATGCTGTGTTCTTCTCCTCATTCGAATACATCAAGTCACAGTCCTACTATTCCTTTGTCACTTGGTACTATGGCTCCCTGCAAGTCGATCATGTGGACAAGCTTTCATCGTCCGAGTCTAGTGATCGCGGGGTGCCACTCATCAAGCCCCACTATGCATTGGAGCCATGTTTCCTGATGATGGCTGGTGTTGTGGCATCGATCGCTCAGCAAACCATTCAACATCCTCTAAGTAGGATTCAAGATCTCCATCTGGGTCGACTGGAATATCTGGATCACCAGGCCAGTTTGATACCCTCACGACAGAAGATGATGCGATTATACTACCACGCCTATCAAGAGACTTTTAAGAGGTGCAAGCGGAAGGCTGTGCGAACCGGGGGCTGGCGCTCCTGGTTATTCCGTGGGTTTATCGGGAGCTCTCTTCGTCAAGTACCTAGTACCAGTGCCGGCCTGATCATTTTTGAATTGGTGCGCCGACGGTACGCAAATCTTGCCGACGCTGTCCATATTCAGAGTGATGGATATGATATCCTTCTCACTTGATGGTTTCCACAGGGTTTTCTTATCCCCTCTCTGGTCCAATTTCTCTATTCATTCTGGGGATGGCGTTACGGACATAGAATATTATTTCATATAGAGTACATACACAAGCGATACCCGACTTTTAATTGAGTACATTTATGTGTATAGCTGGATACCTGGCAAGATAAATTTTATATCAGGATAACATATCGAGGGACTCTTATGAAGGTTATCTGACTATATATCCATGTAGTATAGTCATAATATGCATAATACTCCGTATAGGTATAGTACTCCCGAGGTCCATACATAATTAGTAACATATTTGTCGATCCTTAAAAGACGTATTAATATACCGTATGCGTACAACCTTGGAAATACTTGGCATTACATATCTCTCCTATTATCATCTTCAAAGGCATTTGAACTTCCTTTCTCTTCTACAACTCAATTTACTATACCTAGTTTCCTCGGAAAACATATCGAAATCCGAATTCCTATACTTGAACTACTTGAACTTTCTCTTTTGGCTCTGTAATACTTGGCGACCCTTTTTGCCCAAACGCATCTCCCCAAATATTTCCGCCTGACACCATTTTGACATTCTGCGCGTGTGACTTTACGTAGCTAGTCGCCTGCGACCACATCGTCTGAGTGGCGCCCTAGCGCAGATTAATCCACTTTCAAAGGTTATGCGTTGAACTTTGTGGAGAACCTCCCTTATCGATATCATTCCCATCTCCGCATTCTTTTCGGGGCTGCGAGGTTCAGCCCAATACCGCCATCATTTCTCCGACTTCTTCCACACGCGCCTCTAACATACCTCTCCGATCCATACCCTCTGATTCCCGCTCTACACATTCGGGCTTATTGGAGTCCAACGAGAAGGATAGTCGACGGTCTTCCCACTCGTCTGCTCGCTCGGTCGGGTCTGACTTCTCAATCTGGTCAGACACCGGTGACCTCGCCGAGCAATTCGCCGAGGCTGAAGATCCGCTGCAGATTCACCTTTGCGATTCCTCAGACCGACGGCTCTTGCGTCGAGAAGACCGAAGAAAGCAACCCAAACACGTACACTATTCTTCAAACTTGAGCAACGAGCGTTCTGAGGTCGATATTGAAAAGATCAGAATACCAACCCCTCCCACGCGGCATATTTCGAGAGTTGAACGTGTTCTGGCCGCCATAATGACACCCAGAAATGAAGCACACGCCCAGATTCACGGCTTAGTCGGAAAGCCATTACTGTGAGTGTCTCAAACCCCAATACTGTAGTATTACTACTGACTCGGATTTTCAATGTAGTTACTTCACAAGTGTGTTTGTATCACTGGGTGTCTTTCTTTTTGGCTATGACCAGGGTGTAATGTCTGGCATCATAACGTTCGTACCTATTCCCTCATAGACTCGCCATAGAGATTAGGAGCAGACTGTGGCTAACAGATGCAGTGGCTGGTACTTCAAAGATTACTTCAACCAGCCTTCTCGGGCTACAATTGGTACAGTGGTTGCAGTTCTCGAAATTGGAGCATTCATATCCTCGCTCCTTGTGGGGCGTGTCGGTGATGTGATCGGTCGTCGAAGGACTATACTCTATGGCTCCATTGTGTTTTTCATTGGCGGTGCTTTTCAAGCATTTGCCACAGGTATTCCCATGATGATGGTCGGTCGTGTCATTGCTGGACTAGGCGTTGGCGCCCTCTCTACCATTGTGCCAGTTTACCAGTCTGAAATCTCGGTTTGTAATCCCCTTTGTCCATCAGCCTTTGGGGATTCTTGTTTGCCTCCCCTTTCTCTTGCCAGGTATGCTGACGAATTTTAAGCCTCCCCACAACCGTGGGAAGCTCGCATGCATCGAATTTACCGGCAATATTGCTGGATATGCGACTAGTGTGTGGGTAGACTATTTCTGTAGCTTTATCGATAGCGACTACTCCTGGCGCCTCCCGCTCCTTTTCCAGTGTGTCATGGGTGCATTGCTTGGGGCTGGCAGTCTAATGATCTGTGAATCACCTAGGTGAGTAGAAATCTCCTCCCACCGTCTGCCAGGCTAACTCCCATGGCTCTACCTAGGTGGCTTCTTGATAATGACCACGACGAGGAGGGTATGGTGGTGATCGCAAACCTGTATGGTGAAGGCGATCTCCTCAATGACAAGGCCCGGCAAGAATATCGTGAGATCAAGATGAACGTCCTCGTCCAGCGACAAGAGGGCGAGCGATCCTACTCCGACATGTTCCGCCGGTATCGCAAACGGGTGTTGATTGCCATGTCGGCTCAAGCCCTAGCTCAACTCAACGGGATTAACGTAATCTCATACTATGCTCCTCTCGTTTTTGAACAGGTATGAATGCCACACGCTGCTATGAATCCAGAGTCTTCCTCCCGCGGCGCCATGCCGTATTGAAACAAGATCCAAGGAGACTCAAGGATTATGCTGACCAATCACCAATATAGGCCGGCTGGGTTGGACGGGATGCCATCCTTATGACCGGAATCAATGGCATTTCATACTTGCTATCTACCATACCACCGTGGTATCTCGTGGATGGCTGGGGTCGGCGACCGATCCTACTTTCGGGTGCTGTTGCCATGCTCATTTCGCTTTCTCTTATCTCCTACTTTATTTATATTGAGATTCCTGCCACCCCAACCCTGACAGTGATCTTTGTTATGCTCTATAACGCAGCTTTCGGGGCATCTTGGGGCCCCATTCCATGGTTATACCCCCCGGAGATCTTGCCTTTGAGTATTCGCGCCAAAGGTGCAAGCTTGAGTACCGCTTCAAATTGGGCATTCAATTGGCTCGTGGGTGAAGTGACCCCTGTTCTCCAGGAAGTTATCAAGTGGCGGTTATATCTGGTTCATGCATTCTTTTGTGCATGCAGTTTTGTGCTTGGTAGGACCCTTTATCCATGGTCATCTGCCAGGGACCATTATACTGACTATATCACCACAGTTTATTTTTTGTTCCCCGAAACGAGTGGGGTTCGCCTCGAAGATATGAACATTCTTTTTGGCGATGCTTCCACCGCCATGCCGACACCGGCCACCCAAGGCGAACGCGGGTCGCTAATGGGTGCTGGTTCACCCGTCCCATCGCTTGATCTGCGTCGGCAGTATGGTCAATTTGGGGCAGAAAGTTCCATCCCCGGCCTAGATATTGATCCTCCGACTTCAAGCCATGAAGGAACCAGCAAACGCGGACGCTCAGATTCCCACCAGGGTAGTGCTCGCGGCGAAGGAATTGGTGGCTGGATCTCAAGCATGGTCAGTCGAAACCGAGGAGCGGCCCCCAACGCTACCAGCAGTCAATATAGACGTTTGGAGCAAGGAGAAGGAGACGAGCAATGAAAGGATTATGGATAATTGTGGCCTCGGACCGAATAAAGGAAGAAAGATCAAAGAATTCGATAGCATATATCTCCTTTCTCCATTTACTGTCTTCTGTTTGTGTCCACGTTTACGGTACATATTCAAATCCGGGAGTTTTCTATTTGTATGGGGGCGCTTCGCTTTGATGGTATATAAACGTATTGAGAGTATCCTTGTTACTAAAAATGTGTATATTTATTGGATACATATAGAAGTATTAATTTAAAAGACCCATATAAATACTAATAGATTTGAAAATACCTTGGAGTATATTTATAGGTAAAAGGTACTTAGACGGAATTACAAGGGCCACGTTCTGAAAACGGCCCGCTAAAAGTGGACTTGTTTATCCTCCTTGAGGCCACGGATCTCACTTTCTCCTTTACTCTCTCAGCCCACTCTCTTGCTTCGCTTCATTTCATTTTTTTCTTTCTTTTTCTCTTTGATCTACTGAGTTTACTTCCCGTCTATCCGTTGGATTTGCTTCTATCACTCATTTGCCCTGGGGAATGGCTATGTTCTCTTAACCTATCCGTTCTTCTATTATCGGTCTACCTCGGTATTCCTCAGTTTAAATTCCTACTTCTCCAATTTCTGTTGTTTTCCTTTGAAAACACCACAAGGCGCGCACTATGGCGGGCCTAGACACTGCCGTGAGCACGGGCGCCAAACACGAGGCCGACCTCCGTCGAAGAAATGTCCCTGATACTAGCAAAGGTTATCTGGACTCGAACCGGGTGAATGATGAAGATGTGAAGAAAGCTAGACCACAGGTGAGATAGACTTCTTCGACATCATACACGCTCTTCTAACCTCCCCTGATCAGTCACCCTCGTTTCTCAATGTGCTAGCTAGCTGGGAGCCGATCATTGCTCCCATCATCTTGACTGCCCTCGCCCTCTTCACTCGCCTGTACCAGATCGGTCGTTCCAACATTGTGACCTGGGACGAGGCCCACTTCGGTAAATTCGGTTCTCACTATCTCAAACGCGAATTCTACTTCGATGTCCACCCGCCTTTGGGGAAGATGCTAGTTGGCCTGTCCGGCTATCTTGCTGGCTATAATGGGTCATTTGAATTCAAGTCTGGCGAGAAGTATCCAGAAGATGTGAACTATACCTTTATGCGAGCCTTCAATGCTGCCTTTGGTATAGTTTGCATTCCCCTTGCCTACTACACTGCGCGAGAGTTGAACTTCCGTCGCCCCACAGTATGGTTGATCAGTCTGATGGTACTGTGTGAAAACTCCTATGCGACAATTTCTCGGTTTATACTTCTTGACTCGATGTTGCTCTGCTTCACATTTACTACTACAATGTGCTGGGCAAGATTTCACCGTTTGCAGCATGCTAGCTTTTCGCTGGAATGGTATACCTGGCTCTGTTTGACTGGCTTGAGCATTGGATGTGTCTGTAGTGTCAAATGGGTCGGTTTCTTCTGCACTGCTCTTGTCGGTCTTTATACCATTGATGATCTGTGGAATAAATTTGGCGACCTGAAGATGCCACGGGTAAGTACCTGCGTTCAGCCCCTGTTCCCCAAAAGTCAATCACCGATTAGCTGGCTAATCCAGGTGTGTTTGAACAGGCTGTGCTCGCAAAGCACTTGGTTTCTCGCATTGTGGGATTGATTTGTATCCCAATCCTGGTCTACATGTTTTCTTTTTATCTGCACTTCTTGGTGCTGGCGAACAGTGGTCCAGGTGATGCCCAGATGAGCTCACTTTTCCAAGCCAACCTACACGGTACCGAGGTTGGTAGAGACAGCCCTCTTGAGCTTGCGATTGGGTCGCGTATCACACTCAAAAATATGGGCTATGGAGGTGGGCTTCTTCACTCCCACGTTCAAACCTTCCCGGAGGGATCTATGCAGCAGCAGGTCACCTGCTACCACCACAAAGATGCCAACAACGACTGGTTCATCTACCCCAACCGACAGGAGCCAGACTACGATGCCACTGCCGATCTGCGTTTCGTTGGTGATGGCGATGTCATTCGGCTGATTCACGGACAGACAGGTCGCAACCTGCACTCCCACGCTATCCCAGCACCAATCACTAAATCACACCACGAGGTATCGGCCTACGGCAATATTACCATTGGAGATGAAAAGGACCACTGGAAAGTGGAGGTAGTCGATGATGTTGCATCCCGGGACCGATCTAGGATCCGGACACTCACAACAGCATTCCGCCTCCGCCATCCGGTCCTAGGCTGCTATCTCCGGGCAGGAAATGTCAATCTACCTCAATGGGGCTTCAAACAGATTGAAACTACGTGTACCAAAGAAAACAAACCCGGTGATGTGTACACCCACTGGAATGTTGAGTCTCATACCAACGACCGCTGTAAGTTGACCCTTTTTTCAAGAACTTGGTATTGATGAGCCCGATCAGACTTATTGACTTATGCACAGTGCCCCCTGGTGACCCTGGCTCCTATAAATCGCCCTTCTTGAAGGACTTCATCCACCTGAATGTGGCTATGATGACCTCCAACAATGCTCTGGTCCCCGATCCTGACAAGCAAGATGACTTGGCTTCCAAGTTTTGGCAATGGCCGATTCTCAATGTCGGCTTGCGTATGTGTTCTTGGGATGACAATGTTGTCAAATACTATCTCCTAGGAAATCCTCTGGTCTATTGGGGAAGCACTGCCGCTCTCGGTGGATTTGGTCTTCTGTTCCTTTGGTACGTTCTGCGCTGGCAGAGGGGATACAATGATCTCAGCAACGAGGAAATTGGTCACATCCACTACTCTGGCTTGTACCCCGTTATCGGATGGGTCTTGCATTACCTTCCCTTTATCATCATGGCCCGCGTGACTTATGTCCACCATTACTATCCGGCTCTCTACTATGCCATCCTGAATTTCGGCTTCTGCGTTGATTGGGTGACACGGAAGATGAACCCCAGATTGTCTGCGGCGGTGTATGCTTTCCTCTACCTGATTATTGTTGGATTGTTCATCCATTTCCGAGCTATCGTGTTTGGAATGGAGGGTCCCAACCAGCAATGGACTCACCTACGCTGGCTACCTGGATGGAGAATGGCGAATGTGAACTAATCATGGATCGTTTGATGACATGTTCTTGTCCTCTCTGCTTGTTAGCTCGTGTTGACCTCAAAACTGGGACCTTATATGCCTACATGGGTACTTGGATCAACACGGATAATTTCACTTTGCTTTCTGTATTTGTAAAGAAAATTGCAATGTTACTAGAGCCATTAAAGTTCTCATTCCGACGGTTTTAGTCACACTTGGTGTCTGGTAACAATTTAGTTGAATATGAAGATATGTCGCGGCTATGTGTTGCTGGTTATTATTATTACGGACTGTGGATTTAGCAACAACCCCCAGTCCAACCATTACCACCTTTGCGCATAGCATCATCCATTCCCAATGTGACAGTTCTAGCGACTCCCGTGTTTGCTCCTCCTGAGGCCCCGAACCCTTTCACACCACTCCGCCGATCATTGAGGTCGTATTTGCCCGTTTCAATGTTACGATAAATTCTCTCGGCAACTTCCAGGAATGCCCGTTCAACCCCATCCCCAGATTTGGCGCTAGTTTCAACATAGCGAACCACATTGTTCATACGACACCACTCTTCGGCCTCCTCCTGGGTGACCTGCCTTTGATTTGACCCAGAACTAGCCCCCGTTAGATCAGTCTTGTTACCGACCAAGATGACAACGATGCCATCTTCTGCAATATGCCGTAGATCCTGCAGCCACTGTGTGCAGGATACAAAGGTCGAGTGCCTGGATATATCAAAGACTAGGAGAGCGCCAGAGGCGCCCCGGAAGTAAGAGCGGGTGATAGATTTGTATGTCTCTTGTCCAGCGGTATCCCACAGGGAGAGTTTCATGCGTTTCTGATTGGGAGAACCTTGAGGCTTTCGTGGAGGGGTAGGAAGGCCGGAGGTGGTAGACGCTTCTGGAAATGTATCACCCGACGATCCGGGAGAAGGCTCATCAAGTTCTAGCTCTAGTGAAGCTGGAGGACCAACTGGCACAATTCGCGACCCAAACTCGACTCCGATGGTCACATCATGAGATGGGGAAAAGCGGCCTTCACAAAGTCGGACGGTGAGCTATTGTTTGGTTAGCGGAGGCCCAAAGTCAAAAGACCGATAGCACTTACGCTGGACTTGCCAGTGCCAGAGTCACCAATGCAGACAAGCTTAGCAATATAATCCCATGGCTGTGACATGGAGAGTAGTAGAAAAATCCAGAATCAGAGATGGGAAAGAAAGAGGTCAGTTTACCTACGATGGTGTGTTTGGAGACCTCACCTGTTATCAGCTGAGTCATCTATCAAGCCTGATGTGCCCGTATGACGCTTTCATCAGCTGCGTGACCCTATAGCCCTTCACTTTATCCCCAGACAACTCTCTCTCTCTCTCTATCTCTCTCCTAGATTTGACATATCTCAAACAAATTCATAGTCTTTCCTCTCCCTCTCCCTCTCCTCCCTATACTCTTTAATATCCGACCGTACTTGATATCTTTAGTGATTTATCACTGGCCTTGTTCCTTCACCGTACTTCCTTTGTTGTGATAACAGGCCATGTTCTCTGAATGTAGGAACTGGAAATTATTGAATATTAAAAACTATATGGCTAATATTCCCCCCTTAGATGCCTCAAGATTCCTTGCGCAGTCACAGTCGCGAGTAACCTCTCGACCAGATGAGGTTCAAAGAACGGGTCGTAGCCGCCCTAGTCAACAGCAAGGCAACCCTCGACATCCCTCATCGCGCTCCTTCTTACGACCTAGCGATCCTTATCGACCGGGTGCATCCCAAACATCTCAATTTCCTTTTGCCCCTCGCAGCTCGGTTCAACAAGCTCCCCTTTTCTTCAGTGCCACTGATGAATTCCGAGAGGAAGATGACGAAACAGAACGTGAGCGAGAAATCGCTGATTTCTATGCACTCCAACGATCAAGGCGGAATTTTGGTGACAGCAACTTGAAG